TTTCCCATGCTACTATTACTACTACTGTGCATTTTGATAGATTATTTAGTAATGTGAAACAAAGTGAGGTTTTTATGGTAATTGGCAAGAATAACAGGATAGATATTTTTCTCTTCACTTCTATTGCTAAGGAAACCTTATAGAGAAAAATTCTTCTACTTGTATTGATGTTGGCATAACTTACTTGCCACAGACCTTGTTGCTTGGCAAACTAGGTGGATGCTGTTTCTCCATCTTAGTTGATGTGAATAAATAAGGTCTTATTCCTCCTGCCAGGAGTGGTTTTAGGTGATGACTGTGTCTCTTGCTAGTCTTTGAAGGATTTTCCTGAATATGTTTTTTGTGGTTTGCAAATATGAACTTCATCCAAAATTATATATAAATGTAATTCACTCCAAACCAGAAGATCAGTGTAGAATTTAGAGCAATTAATCTAATAATACCAAAGTGGTTTCTGTGGTTGTTTTTATCTCTTATCTCCAGACTAGCATACTTAAATTCAGCATTGCACCAAAAACAAAAAACAAAAAACAAAAAAAAACAGAGCAAGAAAAAGTATATACAGGTAATTTGAATTGAATATGTAGTAAAGATAATTTAGTAATTAGGGCATGGCCTCAGGTAATTTGTGTGCCTCATATTTATGATACAAAATATTTTCTATATCAATGCGACATTTACAACTATTTTAACACCAAAGGTTTATATGTTTATAATAAGAATTCTCATTCTTTACCTGTTTCAGCTACCAATTTCTGTGGGTCTCATACTGGACATAAAATAGTATGCAGGTATTTCTGACTGGTTAGGACTGGAACATCTTCAAGCCACTTAGTTGAGTGAGGGGTCTAATGTAAGAGCACAGTTTGGGGTATGTAAGAGAAGAATTGGGAAACAGATTAGGCAGTGAGCTTATCTATCAGTTTAAATGTCTGGCCTTTTGCCTTTATGATAAAAAGTCAATAGCATATTTAGGGGACATTGGGTAAAGAGTATGTGTGTGTGTGTGTGTGTGTGCGTGTGTGTGTGTGTGTGTGTGTGCGCGCGCGCGCGCGCGCGCGTGCGCGTGCCTTTGGAAGCTGAGTTGTTTTCTGTTTTGCTTTGTGACTATTGGTTGGCCATTTTTGAGTAGGAATATGTAATACAAAGTATATTAGAGTGTGGACATTAGGTACAAATGATTGCATATATAGTGTAAGATTCCTGATGTGGCTTTTCTGAAACTTTATCTCTTTAACTGTGCAGAAGAGTCGGGATTCATAAGTACCCTCTTTGCTCCCCATGACTGATGCTCTTTAAAGAATTTATTTAATAAGAACCAAGTCTGATACTGTCAAATTGGATTAGTAGTGATTCAGGCTGGTTTGTGCTACGTCTCATTGTCAAGTGGTAAGGGTCATTGGTTTCTTCTGGCATCTCTAGCAGCCTGATTGTGAATCTCATATTCCATGAAGTTTTTTGGTTCTACTTTGGCATCATTTTCTTCAACATGAGAATTTTAGTCTGTTCAGACTTTTCTTTATGTAGTGGAATTTTCATAGTTTTTAATATGTGGATAGAGGGAAATACAAAGAAACATACTTTTGCTGTCTTTACACTCCAGAAAAGACCATCCAGTAACTCAGTACTATTCATCTAATTAATACTTGTTTTACACAGTATTTTAATTTTGCCCTCAGGTCGCTGAATCCCGGTGGGAAAACTAGAAATTTTTAATGTAACATCTTTTAGATTCACTAACCTTGGCTTTCTATAGTTCTCTTTGTCATTGAAAAGCTTATTTTGATCAAAGGTACATACATACACTTTCTTACTGCTTTTCCCTGAGGAAATCACTACATAGACTGACATCTTGACATATCATTAACCCTTAGTTTACATTTACACATAATAGTCAAAGGAAGAACTCACTTGAGATCTTTGATTTCTTTCACCCTCATTTTTTAGTTTTTAGCATACAGATCCTATACATGTTTTCTTAGATTTATAACTAAGTAATTTTTTTGAGTGACTGCATGTAGCCACAAATTTTGAAAATCAAGAGTTTAGATTACTGTATATTTAAATTTAGTTTACTTACAAAATAGTCACTTTTTGGAAACAAACATAAATATGCCTCTACTTATCTTGGCATTATTAAGAATGTAAAATATAGGTGAAATATTAGCTCTCATGAGTAGTTGAATTTAGTAATATTTTTTTTATGATACACAGATATTTTAAATTTTAGTAGTTGATTTTGGTAATATTTTTCTTTTATGATATATTTTGTGTATATTTTAAAAAAATCTGCCCATGTCTCAATGACTTACAAGTATTTTCCTATATTTCTTTGTAAATGTTGTAAAGATTTGCATATCATGTATAGACTTTTAATTCTCCTAGAATTCATTTTTGTATGCACTATAAGGATCTCTTCCTTTCTCTCAACATCAGTTAAGTTACCTAAAAATGATGATTGAATACTCTGTTTTTTAAATCTATGTATCTGTCCGTGTGTGTGTGTGTGTGTGTGTATGTGTTTATCCTTTTGAGATCTGGTCTCAGTATGCAGTTCAGGCTAGCCTTGCTAACTTCATGGCCCAGGCTGGTCTCGAACTCGCAATGATCCTCCTGCCTCAGCCTCCTGCTGGGATTACAGGTGTGTGCCGCCATGCCCAGCTTCATGTATTTTCTATATTTTTATCTCTGTATCCATCTCCATCTCTGTCTCTTCTATCTCTGTGTTTGGTACTTGACTTAGTGTATGTGTGAAACTATAAAAAGTATTATAGACTAATTTATGACGAGGAGAAATATATTGTGCCACGGTTCTGGAGACTGGGAAACTCAAGTTGCTGACAGATTTGTTTGTCAAATGAGGACTTCTGTCTGCTTCCAAGGTACCTCTTACTGCAACATCCTCTGGAGGGGGAAGAATGCTGTGCTCCAACCTGGTGGAAGGTAGCAAGAAAAGTGAACTTAAATTTGTATGGGACCTCTTTCATGAGTGAGGAACTTTCATAGCCATCTCTTAATACCATCGCATTGACAGTACTTGAATTTTGAAGATGACATGTTCAAACCATAACAGCACCTATACTGCATATGGAGGTCTGTAACCTCAGAAGGACCATTAGAGAATTTAGTGCTATTCGTATCTTTTTTGCAGTGGTCTGTTGGGTTATTCCTATACTTTCTAATTTTACTTTGCTTTTTTACTAAAAAGCTTTGTTTGCCTATAATCTCACCTATCTAGGAGACTAAGCCTGGAAAATTGCAAGTTTAAGGCTAACCTGGGCAATTTAGTGAGGCCCTATCTCAAAAAAAAAGGGAACTAGGATCATGTTTTAAAACTCCCTGGATTCAATGCCCAGTACTACAAAAACAAAACAAAACACTTTAAATTTTATTGACATAAAATAAATTGCACATTTAAAATGGACAGTTTTATAAATTTTGATGTTTGTACTGTGAAACTAACACCATAGTCAAGGTAGTAAACAATGCTGTAACTCCTAGTTTTCTTGTTCCTCTTTGTAATTGTCCCGAGTCCTAAACACACATACTTACAATTCATTCAGCAAAGAAATTTTCAGAAATTTAAAGCAGTTATCTTTTCCTTACTGTATTTTGGGGAAACTATAATTTTCACCTTAAAAAGTATATTTACCTCATGGCCCTTTTTTGTTGTTGTTGTTTTGTTTTTTGAGGCAGGGTGTCATTATTAACTCCAAATAGCTTTCAAATCACTGTGTAACTCAGGCTGGCCTACACTCATAGTGATCCTCCTGCCTTAGCCTTTTTAGTGCTGGGAATACATGGTGGGCCACCACACCTAGCTCTTTTACGTATTTTAAATTAATAACTGTTTAAGAAACTTGCTTTATAACATTCAAATAAAGGTACAGTTCATGTAAATAAATGCTCTTTGGGGTCTTTGTCAATTTTGAGAGTATTAAGCAACCCCGAGACTGAAGAACTTGAGAGTGTGTGCTCTGAGGGACTAGTCAGAGCAATGAGGTTCTCGAGATCCAGGGGCAGAACAGTTGCTCAGTGGGGGCTTCAAATGTTACTTTCCATTTCAGCCTCAGTTTTTGTTGCCTTGAGATTGATTCTTTTCTTCTGAGGTGTCATTAAAATCTTGTCTTGTAGATCACAGAAATAAGAAAAACAAAAAGCAGACAAACTTGCTGTAAGATGCAAAGAATCTCTCCAACTTTATAAGCTCATTAAACTAGTGTTTTTGGCTGTCAAAAAGAAGAAAGCACTCTTTATACCTCTGTTAAATCACTTCCTCTAATTTTCTCTTTATACTACTTAGTCTTCTCCAGTAGGTTGTAACTTCTTTGTTATCTTTATATCTATTATGACTTGCCCAATATCTTTCTGAAATAACAGATATGACCATGATTTTCTCCTACTTAAAGATCTTTATTGACTTTACTTTGCAAACAGGATAAAATTCAAGCGCCTTTCTGGAAATCAAGAGAATTTGTAATGTTTGGCTTATTTCTTGCCTTTCTTTGTTTTCTTTAAGCTGAGCAATACTAAATGAATTTTTATAAATGTTTTATGCTGTTTCATCTTTGCATATTTTTAAATGTTTTCTTTCCTTTTTTTAGAATATTGTGCCTTTCCCTGCCTTCTGTTTTATTTCTAGTGATTCATCATTAAAAGCCAGTTCAGATATTACTCTTTCAGCAGTTTTTCCTAACTCCTTGGATGTATTGTTCAGAGGAAAGGTCTCTACTGCCTACCACTTCTGTTCCTTTTATGTTTGATGTCATTTGGTATATTAGAAAACCTTATAATCTTTGAGTTATATCTAGCCTTTTGAGTTCTAGTCATTTTACTTTCTAGTTTTGTAATATGATGTAAATTATTTAATCCCCTTGTATTCCACTTTTACTTATCAAAGTGGGGATAACTATTTATAAAGTTTTTATAACATATCTACTCTAAAGGAATTATTTTCCTTTGTTTTCAGTTAATCTTGTGTGGAAATCTTACATTCTTAGGTGGATGCTCTCCGATTGCGTTTAGAAGAGAAGGAAACCATGCTGAATAAAAAGACGAAGCAAATTCAGGAGATGGCTGAGGAGAAGGGGACACAAGCTGGAGAGATACATGATCTAAAAGACATGCTGGATGTGAAGGAGAGGAAAGTTAATGTTCTTCAGAAGAAGGTAAGATGCTAGGTGTTCTGAGCTCAGTGGCTTATTTCTGACATGCCTTCTCATTTTTGTCACCAAAATTATATTAAATGCTCTCAATTAATTTCTCATCCCAGTTTATATTTTCACATTGAGTTAGGGAAACTGCTGTTCCAAAAGATAGATTGTTAAAACCACTCTTCATATCGAGTATTTAAAATTTTAAAGTAATCACAGTATCTTTCACTATTTTTTACTCTCTTTCTGAAGATTGCCAGTTTGACCTAATGTTCTTCCTGCCTTTTCCTTCTTTTATTGGAACCACAGTGAATTAGTGTATAACATGTGGCTCATCTATGTGATTAAGAGGATGAAAATTTTGAATAGAGAAACGTGCTGCTATAATTAACATAGAATTACATCTATTAAGGAAAATTTTTTGTCTTTTTGATAATCAGTTTTGGAAAGAGTCTAACTCAGAAATAAGTAAGAAAACAACTAGTAATTCCACTGTTTTCCCTTAATAAAAATGTGCCCTTCCGATAGCATTTATAAAAATTGCTGTTACTGTCACTGTGTTGAGGTGATAGATTAGAAATATTTGATATTATCCCAACTTATTTTCAGCTTGTCACAATAGCCAGAGAATGTGTTAATTTTCTTCAATGAACTTCAGATTCACTGTTTAAAGACAGAAGATCGTCCCCTATATTTGCCTTTTGGCAAATATTAATTTGGCTTTTTATTTCCTTTTTGCAAATAATTTTAAGAATTTGATCACTCTTCATATTGGTTGACTATATCTCAGTAGTGGATCTAATTTATTGTTTTAAATTTTTAGAGATATTTATAATTCTCCATTCATTCCCTACAACTGTCCACTTCATCTTACCAGTTTCTTATTTGGTCTTTCAGAAAGAGTCTACATATATACAAGTAAAAATGAATTCTTCGTTCTGTTTACATCTTTTCTGGTATTCCAGACATATGCACAATCTGTTTACATGCAAAAATGTGTGCGCGCTCGCACATGCACACTTTAGCAAAACATCTTACCATTCTCTGTTGGTTGTTCCTTTCCTTTTTTTTAGTTAAGATATTATGGAGCTTCTTCCAAGAACTTCCTCATTTTTACTGTTGATAGCATTATACACATGTATTACAGTTTATTTAGTAAAGTTTTAGTAGTTGACATGTACTTTGCTCACATTTCTGCTTTTACTTAAAATAATACTGTAGTAAAAAGGCTGTATATGTTTATATATGTATGAAATCTGTTTCTAGGATTAACTCCTAAAACTAAAACTGTTGGGTGGGAGGGTATGGACTTACACTTTTTTTTTTTTTTTTGTCTTTTTCCTTTTTATCGGTACCAGGGATTGAACTCGTGACTGCCTGCTTGCAAGGCAGGCACTTATGCCACTGAGCTAAATCCCCAGCCCCTGGACTTATACTTTTGATGGATTTCTGCAGTAGCCTTAAAGAAATCGTACCAACACTTTGTCCTACCATCAGTGTATGAAGGCATCATTTACCTTATTCCATATCCATAAAGTGCATTATTCAACTTTTTGACAGTCTGGTAGATGAAAAAATCTGTCAGTGTTGTTATAATTCTTTAGTTAAAAGTGAGTTTCAACTTACTGTAATATAATTCAGATCATTTATATCTCTTCTATAAGTTATTTGTTCATATAACTTTTTGCTTTTTATTGACTTGTAGAAGTTCTAATTTAATAATTAGCTCTTTTAGTTTACTGTGAGTTCCAAATAGTTTTTCATGCATGGCTATTGACAGATTTGTGTGTGTCCCTATGTAAGTGTGTATGATTTCCCTTATGTGTAGCAGGCATTTAGATTTTTAAAATGTTTATAAAGTGAATATTTTAAGGCTTCTGGATATTTGGATATACTTTTTAAGTTCTATTTTTAGAATGTCCCCTTCTATTGATATATCTATATTTGGTATCTGTTCTTATTTTTGGTCTTTGAAACATATATCAAAAACTAATTCCTTAAATGTTGACCCCCACCCCATAATGTCTTAGCTATTTTTGTCTCTGTAGTTTTCTATGTGAAATTTAGAATTTGCTTGTTATATCCCAACTCTCAATTCTGTCTTTTCATTGGAATTGCATCAGATTTGTAGAATATATTGTTACATTTTTTCATTATCTCTTCTAACTGCTGGGTTTTTTTGTATATATGGAAACTTGTGATTTCTGTGTATATTTTGTGCTTAGTCATCATACTAAATTCTTTCAAGGTTTTTTTCCCCTCTCTAGTTGATACTTTGGCTTCTCCAGACGCAATTTATCATTTTCACATTAATTTAATGGTAGTTCCTCATTTCTTTATTTATTCTTCTTACATGTACCATTATACCTGAAACCATGCTAAATAATTATAGCAGTAGCAGACATCTTAGTCTTATCCCTAATTTGAATGAGAATGCTTTTGGTTTTCTCTTGATGAACTATGATACTTGCTTTTAGGTTTGATCTGTTTGTCTGTTTATCTGTCATGTTAGGAAGCCATGTAAAGAAAACGATTTTTTTTAAAAGCAAGAATGGCTATGGTAATCTTACGGATGTCAAATTACATTATTGTACTAGTCATTAATTTGTTCTGTAAGGCAATGAGAACTACCAAAATTGTTTTGGTTGGAAAGTGTAGTAACGTGGCAGTTGACAATAAGAACTTCTAGATTGTGTATCCCATACCAAATGAATGACGAGCAGAGACAATTTTGACCTCAAAATGGTACTAAATCGAATGAATTTTAGAGCTATTGAGTACCAAAGTATGACTATATTATATTTGGAATATTATATATATATATATATATATATATATATATATATAACTCTTTAAAGTATACATGTCTTGCTTTTAAAGAACAAATGGCAGTATTTTTTTTTTAGAAAATTAACTAGTTTTTAAGAGTATCCAGGCATACATAGTGAGATTTGATCTTTATTGTCAGTCTTTTGACTGTCTCAGTACACTTTCTTAGAAGTATCTAGTTCTTTGTGCACCTTTTCATACAGTGTTAGCAAATATGCAAGCATATATGTAGTATACTGTACAATGTTTTTTAAGAGTTGGAATCATAATTTTGATTTATTTAAAAATAAAAATTTAGGGGCTGGGATTTAGCTCAGCAACATAAGAGCTTGCCTGGCAAACATGAGGTCGTGAGTTAGATCCTTGGTACCTAAATAAATAAATAAATAAATATCTTGTTATGTAGCTACATTTCATTTTAAAAAATGTCTGCATGCTTACTGTCATACTTGCGTTGTGTTTTAATTAACTAATACCATACAGCTTTGCAAGTAGATTTTTTAAATAAGTAAACTGTATATTGCATGCATATATATATATATATACACACACACACACACACACAAATATACATATATTGTACATGTAGGTGTTTGTAGGATTTCTTATTTCATGATGATATAAATACAGCTAATTAACATAATTTCATATTATATGCATCTAAATAGATAGATACTAAATTGTCCTACAAAATCTTCTACTTGTATTCTTTTTGCATAGCTTCATTAATTTGTTGTCAACCATTTATAAATTACTGTCTTGCTAGATAATTTAAAATACCTGTATTCTTGCTTACTATTTAAAGTTGAGTTTATATTGAATATCTTTTCCTTAAGGGTTTTTTTTTGAAGGGAGCCAAGTATTCATTACATTCTCCCACATTTTCTATTTCAATGATCTTTTGCCTTGCTGAATTTTAGGAATTCTTCCTCCTGCAAGTGAATTGTGTGTATGCACGTATGTGTGTGTGTATGTATGTACGTATTGTGTGTGTGCACGTGTGTATATAAAATATGTATATATATGTATTTATATGTGTATGTATATCATATTTTACTTTTTTTTACTTTATAGTAGTGAAGCTTACATAGCCAACTCTAGTATTTTACATAGCCTCAACTTTATATCATGTTCAGAAAATACTTATACATCCCATAATAAATTAAAATTTTTTGCACATACTTTTTCTTTATTTTAAAGAGGGTAAAATTAAACAGAACAAAACAGATCATAGGGAAACAATTTTAAGAAACACAAATTTCAAAGCAAGAGCACTGGAGACCTTTACAGTCTATCATATTGTCTCTTATTTTCTTCCAAATAGTTGTCCACATTTTCACACACAGTGAATACATACTGAACAGTATAGTACTGAATTAATCAGAACAGGATGATGAAGGCATTTTAGGTCTTCAATACCAGACAAAAGGGAAGTCCACAATGGCTACCATAATGTCTCTCATTCTATTTGAAATAGCTGTCTATATCTTTACATATGTTGAAATTAAACATAAGAGACTAGACTAATATCCCTCTGAACAGTGAATAATAGTATTTCTAGATTTTATATCCTAATGCTACAGAATTAGCACTGGGTATTCTAGTGTCTCTTCTTCTTCAGAGTATCTGTTCATTACATTGTGCATTATATAATCGGTTCCCATAAATTGTTTAGAAATTCTACATGTGTGAATCTCTACATGTATACCTATGCTTTCTGTATTATAGGGAAAAACAGATCAAAACAAGACTTCAAAACAAATTCCTAGAAAAACATGAAATGAAAAAGACATAAAACTACAATACTGGGTGATCTACAGTAGTTACTGTGCTTTCTCTTGTTATTTTCAATGGAACTGTCCACATCATCAGGCATAATATAATTGAACATAGCATTACATATCAATTTTAATAAAAACACAACTTTGGAGATATTGTAGGACTTCAAAAGCAGTTAATAATCAAACTGAATGGGTATCTTACTGCATCTTTTCATCTTTAGAGTAGTTGCCTCTACTCTTAGACATGATACTGTCAAGCATATCAAATTTGGATAAAATCAGTCAAGACCAAACAGCGGTCTAACAAACCAGCTTCAAATAAGATCAGTCATAGTAAGACAATGTAAGTAATACAGGGCTTTAGTTTAAGTTAATAGGAAATTAAGGATAGTTACTGTCGTATTT